AGATAGCGTTATACGTTGTTTTCGTCGCCGAATATTAACGCGCGATAACATGTGACGTGCGATAACGCTCCAAAAGAATAGATGTCTGTCTTCGAATATCTCGCTCGAAGATTGTCACGTATAAAAATTTACATAAGATATAAAAAAATAAAAATTCCGTCACAATTTTCGAATAAATATTACGAATCCCCGAAAGTTTATCCGAATAAGAATTACTTGAGAATTGGATTTTTTCGACACGTTCAATCAATATCTGTCTCTGCCTGAGACTCGCGGTGTCCTAATCTCTCTCGGATTTCGTCATTGGTGTCGAATAAGAGGTCTCGAAGGCAATGATCGACTCAATATCGACACTCATGCATGCGTGTATATATATACACGCGTGTACACGCGTTTTGTAGAGACACGGTACAGCAACGATATCTCGCGGGCGTCTCGCGGAGAACTTGCGAACCGCTCTTTTATCCGGAGCGCAATTCAGTCTCGCACACACACAATCGAAACGGCCTTTCGAAAGAGAGACAGAGAGAAAGAGAGAGAAAAGTAACGGTATACGATTATTACCGAGTCTATACTCTCACGAAACTGAAACATTCGCGCGCGTTTCGCAGCGTTGGTTTATAGGTACGCGGATTATTAGGTATCGCTTGACGGGAGCGGTGACAGGTCGGCGTCTTCTAACCGCCCTCTCAGAAAAGATTTCTTCCAACAAGACGAAAAATATTCTTGACGCATAATTCGAAAAATATATTCTTGGCATTTAATTCGGTCACAATCTTATGTAGTATAAAAATGAAACAATTTTAAAACTAAAATAATAATTCTTATTCTTCTCTCTCGAATTAAATAAGATTGTCTTTATAATCTAGAAACAAGAATAATATCAAGAAATCGAAATATTCTTGCTTAGAATAATTTGATATTAGCGTCAGTAATTTGCGCGAAACCGATATGCATCTATCTTCTTTTGTAGATAGGATCGTTTCATTCTAGATTTAAGAAATTTCCATTTAAGATTAAAATATTCTTTTTTAATAAAAAATATGATTGTCGCTATATCGATCCTATTTTATGATAGATTGATTTATAATAGCATTATATTTAGAAATCTTTTCTGTGGGTGCGATTCACCAAGTGAAACGGAACAAATATGCGTGGCCATATAAATCTACGACCAAAGTATCTTCGATTATTCGGAAGAAAAAATTGTAGCAATCTGCAGTTGCAATTGTCGCGAGCGATTGTTTCTGCAGAAAAGAAGATTCTTATTTATCGATGTTATGTGATACTTTATCGCGAATAAATAAATAAATAAATATTGTTATCGAAATGTACGATAAAATGCTTAATAAGCTCCGAGAGATGTGAATCTTTATTAATATAAGAACGCGCTACTTTCACGAATCGTATGAAACTAGGGAAAGAAAGTCCATCTTGATAAAACCGCATATTGTATGTATGTATGTAAATAAAAGAAAACAAATCCCGCATATATAAAACGAAATGAGATTACTTTGAACGTACGTGCTTTTTCAATACGTAGCTTGGCAATTTCGTCTCCGTTGGATAAATATACCGCTCTGGTTCAATATAGCGTTGTATTGTTATCCTCATTGTATGATAGTCGATGACTGCGAGTAGCCTTAGAGCGAAAGGGGAAATGCTCTCAAACTGCGCGGAAAAAAAGAGAAATCGACGGCTAGATGAGAGATCGATGTCCTATAAAGAGAAATATCTGCTGCCCGAGAGCGGCTCGATGCATGCGCGCTTTTCATTCGTCATTAACTCATATCGTTTATTTTTATTTTCAAATTTTTAAGCAAGGGCTATTTGTACATTGTCAATTTAATACGTTCGCATCATAGAATTCGATCAAACAGCGAACAATATTTGCGCGCCGAAAGTTTAATTACATCTCGTATTTAATACATTAAATGTATTTCATATTTTCTCTCGTTAAACTCTTGTGTTATTCTCGTTAATTTTTGTAAACTATTTTAATTCTTTCTATGCGACTTTTACATAACAGTTGACCCCTTTCTTGTATCATTACCTGAATATTTGAGACATTATTAAATTTGTTCTCATCTAATAATTCATAAATCTCGATATAATTATTAAGAATCGCTTTTCAATTTATGAAGTGTCTATTTGCTACAAGAATTTATCTCCCTTAATCATAATTAATATACGACAACGATAAATAATCCGCGATATCTATTTTCGCTATTAAAATATACTAATCATTCAAGCGATCGAGATTCATCGGAGCGTGTCTCGTCTTCATGAAACTTACAAAACCTGTTTCGGCGAATCGGTTTTATCGACATTCGAGTCGTATAAAAACGTGCACGAATACGCACTTTCCGAATAAAGAATCGCACAAGAGGAGCATAATAGTATTACGCTGCGTTTGGCATCGATCCTCTCCGGGAAATCGTGAATGAAATATACTCATAATCTTCCGTGCCTTTATTCTTTCGCCCTCGCGCACGCCCTCGGAACGCATTCCACGACGCCGCGTCCGCCGACGATCTGCATTCGCAGAAAAGGACGAAGCGGCCGAGGAAGCGAGCAAAACGAATTAGCATCCCGATCGTCCCGAGCTTCTCCATACGGCCGTTCCCTGGGCCCTCTCCCCTACGGTCCCCACCCACTGTCCCTGCCGCTCGAGAGGAACGCACAGTTTCTTCTTATGTACATACACGTAAGAGAACGTATATACGAGGCGTAGTCGCGCGAGCAATCACATAAATCACGTGATTTCGATGGCTCGTGAACGATTTCTATAGATGGTAATAATATGCCTCTTCGAGAGACAGAAAGAGGGAGAGATAGAGAGAGAAAGAGAGAGAGAGGGAGATGGTACGCTGAGGATTTAAATGGGGTGGTCGTTATTGATTGGGGAGCCTTAGGAGAGATACCTTAGTGTAAGATGCTTCACCTCCCACGCAATTTTTTTATTTTATGCATCTTCGGTTAATTTGCTATCCATTTATTTCATTGAACCAGGAGAATCGTGTGTATCGTGTTTCGTATTGTATACTATTGATTCTAGTGTCGCACATTTCGCACGTTTCCAGCAATTTCCACGAAAATAGCAATACGTTCCCCAACACGTTTAAGGGATGCTTGTATGTAACTAAGTCTATAGGTATGACTATAGTTAGAGTTTAGTTTCTGAAAACTACAGTTAGGTTCTCTACTTGGGATTATAATCTTAAGTGGAGACAACGAGTTGCTACTGTGGTAATACTATGGCGATAGCTAACCCTATCTATCAACTGGTCCCAAAGTGATTATCAGCTCACTTAACTTTGATAGTTTTTCATTTTTAAAACAATGAACGTTTCTTTAAATAAAATTTTTCAACTGTATTTCTCAGGAAAATATGAATCGTTAGAAACTTCCGCGCGGGTATCTCGTACATCGTTTTGTTGCGAAATATTTGCAATCTGAAACGACTCTTGTGAGCGAGTAGTTCGAATACGAATTCGATATTCGTGTGTTTCATTTTATGAGTGGTTCGACAAAATATGAAATAAACATCGGTGAGTATATATACTTGCGCTAAGAGGTACTTGTGTATAAATACGATCGAATGCATATGTCATACCTATGAAGACTTGCTGCATGTTTAAAAGCACTAATTTTATATTCAAAATAATCTGTATGTTCAAAGATACCATGCGAGATTCTAATATCTTTTTTTTTTTTTACTTTTCGAGAGCGCTGAATTTTCCATTCGTCTATCTTGTAGTATTTGTAGACTCCACCTACGCGCAAAGTATTTCAGAAAATGATATATCTTGCGATATTTTTTCATTCAACCGTGATATAAATGATAGTTACACATACACACACATCGTTTCAGAGAACATTGAAAAGAAACCTCATAAAAAAAAAAAAATATATATATATATATATATATATATATATATAAATTTATAGCTTTGAAAAATTATTTATTCTTCCGAAAATTGTTTATTTATGATACAATTTTTTAAACGTTTAAAATGTGTCGAATGCCAGTAACTAGAAATTTGTTCAGTTAACTATGTATTAGATTCCTGACAAGAAACATTTCGGATACAATTAATAATTCACGGACGGTATGAAAGATATATGAGATATATAAATGTACAAGCTAAAACTACTATAAGCTACATTTGCATCACGCTCGTTAATGTCATGAATTTGCCTATACGCGTCGAGCACACTTGGACGATAAGCGGACGCAAGTTGGACTATAACGATTCTCTCTAGGAACACACTAGTACTTGGATAAATGCTCGACTGATATACACCGTTGATTCGAGTATGCGAACACGGCGGATGTGCCTTGACAACGGTCTATGTATGCGAAAGTACCGAGATTCACGTTCATCGTCTTTCGCACAGCAAAATATCGTAGCAAAAATTTACGTCTATGCAAACATATATATAATCAATTACGTCTTTGTACGAAAATGTTGAAATACTAAAATGAACAGTTAAAAATAAGGGAGTATTCATCAAATAAAGAGGAGAATCGTATATTCTATTTTTCAATTAATTTTAAGTAAATTATTTTTGAAAATTATTTATAAAATTTAATTAGAAATTAGGGATAGTCAAAGATATGATTTCTCTTTTGACATTTTTTTTATAAAGGAATAATAGTAGGATTTTTGCAGGAATAATAGTAGATTTTAATAGTAGGATTTTTGCAGAGAAATAATAGCAAGAATAACAATAGTATTTTTGCAAAGGGGAATAATAGTAGATTTTAGGAAATAAATATATTGAAAATAAATAAACATATTTTCGTACACGTAACTTTTTGTTGTAAGTTACATATACCTGCGTACACATAATATTTACCGCGTGCTATCGAGTGCGCAAGCGTTGACGCGTGTAGTGGCGCGTTGCCGACAGGCGCGCTCGGCTTGCTCGGCCCGTTAGCCAGTGGTCTCCGTGCGGTTTGTCCGTGTGGAGATCACGCTCCCCCGCCGGCCGAACGGACATGTAAGTGCTCCGAGTAGGTGTGAGAGCCGTGTAGGTGGCTCTCTCGCTTAGGCGGAGGTCGAGGAAGCGGGGTCGCTGACGTCCCCAGTCTGACGCCGAGCGGCTGATCTCCGACCGAACCACGGGCGAGAGAACCACGTTACGTTAAGTGGTAAGGACGAAGAGAATACCGGGCGTGCGTCACCGAGATCCGCCAATTTGCGACTGGCTCCGCTCGAGCGAGTCTTGTCGACAGGTCTATTAAAATCGAGCAACGTTTAACTGAACAACGTTTACAAAGAAGCTGCTAATATGCTAATGGCACGCACAATTTTTGCCAAATATGAGTGTCATGGGACCTCATGGGACTCGCAATTTTAAATAAGGGAGAGAGAGAAAGATAATTAGAGCACTGGCTTTTCTCTCTCGAATTATCCATATGATTAGATTATATAAATTCATGAAATAATGTGTCGCAAAAAATTACAAACGTATGTCAAATCTTTTTTTTTTAATAAAGTTGAAGAAATTTTATAATCTATATTCTTTAGAATCTTCTTTTGCTGATACGATAAATAATAATAATTTTAAAATTTGAAATCACATAGTTTTGATATCATAGCAAGTTGCTGTTGGTTGTAATAAAAAGTACATAAATACAAAGATATCGATGCAAAAAGATGATGTATAGTACAGCATGAGACGTTATAATCCGAGACTTTATTTTAGGCGAAGTTGTTTTTACTCAACTAGGCATGTAGCTTAAGCTGCTGATCGGAATTACGAGAGAAAAGCCAGGCCGGAGTTGTCGGGCAAGTATTAATAACGCGAGGAGTGGGTATTGAAATATCGGTTATAGTAGTTATTGAAATGTGTAATATTAACCCTTGGACAAGGGTATCCTTATGTGTGTGTGTGTATATATATATATATATATATATATATATATATGATATATATATGATGTGAAAAATGTTTATAAACTTTTAATATAATTATATATAAAACTTTATAAACACCACGTATACGTTAAGCCGATGCGTTTTGCATAAAATGTGCAAATTCTTTAATTTATCTGAATTTTTTTTTATGGAGAAAACCTCTTATGATTACACTTTTCATGTAAAACTTAGACTGTAAACATGCAGTGTCAATTATTAAGATATTAATATTTAGAAAAATCTTTTTGAATATTATAAACGTATGTTAATGCCATAAACACTACTTTGACTTTAAGTGAAATTTTTTATCATGAAGGCTATCTTATATATGTATAATATATCGAGATTTCATAACAAAGGGATATTAAATTTTTGAAAAATAAGATATTAAGATATTATATATAAATTTTTTTTGGAAAAAAGATATTAAATGAAATATTAATATTCCTGCCCTTTTAACTAAAATATGTACAAATTGCATTTTTATGTATAAAATTCGAATTTGAAAATATTTTTCTCGTCCTCGTAAAGTTGCTATTTCGGGCTTGCATCCCCATGTGAGAAACTTTCGATATTATGTGTAAGATGAGAGATTACACATGTTAATAGATAATTACGATATTTTCTAATTGATACTATTTTATCGAAATTGAGATTTGAATAATTAAAATATTAATCACATATAATCTAATATAATTATTCAACAATAATATTATAGCGATTGGATGTTGCGAAGCACTTTCGTACCACGGAAAAGATCAATGACGTGTCGGGAATAGCGCCAAGGCGACCTGAGACCGAACGTAGCGAGTCACGTCAGAATGCAAGCAAGGAATTTCACCGTACGAGAAGATAGGTACTTAGATACGCAGCCATTACTCGCATTGCCAAACCGTGTGCATGTTATGGATACATGGCATTTGAGAAATTGTATTAAGATAATAATTAATCATTTAACAAATTTTTTTGATGACACCGTCAAAAAGAGTATTAAATTTCGTAAAAAGATTTTTTGAGATACTTAAATTATTTTTTTAGATATGTGAAGGTATAAAAAATAAATAAATATTTAAAATAAAATAAATTTATTTTGCTCAGAATGCTAGAATTGAAAAATCTTGTATCCTTTACTCGAGGATTTAGCTTCGTAATTATAATTACCTTCAAATATGCATTAAAATTGTTCACATGCACGATGTGGAAGAAACCTCTTCCAACAAGGTTCTTTGCCGATAAAAATCGACTTTGTCACGAAAGCGGCGACGTATCGGACGCGGTTTTCCAGTCTGTTACTCATTGCATAATTATCAGCGTATTCCCATAAAACCGAACGACTATACTCGACGCAGGACGTATAAGTGACCTACCTTACGTCGTTCTCTCCGCTGGTATCAGACTTTACGTGTTCCTCGTCCAACTACAGGGGAACTATATGAACGAGACGCGGAAAGGAGATTGTCATTCTCGCGATTTTCCTTGCGAGAATCATCCTCCTCCCGGGGAGTATCCTGCGGCGAAGGGCGCGAGCGAGAAAAATGGCTTGCGGACGCGAGGATTATTTGTAGAATCGTAAACGCGCCGGGTTCCCGCGATGTCTCATCATCCATTCGTTGTCCCCGGCCGCTCATTCGCTTCATCATACACGACTCCTCCGCACGGCACGCCGGGAATCCGCGGATATTACGGCGCGATATTTACCACCGTGAATGCCGAATAGCAGCATATATTATGCACGCAGCCCGTAAGTGACGTTCCGAGCCGATGGCGAGGTAACCCTCGCGCGATCATCGCGATCCGAGGAGCCTTACCTTCCTCGGACCGGTACATGCTCGCCTCTATCGCGGCTCGGTCTAGAAAACTATCGATAAGGAGTGCTCGAGGATGGGCGGAATGTGGCGAAACCCGTGTTTGCATACGTAGAATACATAACATGCACGAGAGAGAAAGAGAGAGAGACAGAGAGATTCCCGAGCCGCGGGAATAGCTTGTTAAGTATACGATGAAACATGGCGGATGGGAGTATTTTTTAGGGGTGCCGGGATCGAATGGAGGGATAGTCGGGTCCCATGATGTGATACAAGAAAATCTACACGCGTAGTGTTTTCTCGAATATTTCATACATTTATCGATATTAAAAATCCGGAAAATCCTTAAAAATCGAGATTGCTTTTGTTACATTTTTTTTGTGGACTGTCCCCGCGAATTTTGATATTGATATAGACGGTTTGTAAGAGACCTCGGTGTATACAAGGGGGAGCGATATCTCGATTGTACGCTTATAACACAATCCCTGAACAATAGGCACACATGGAGTAAGATGATTCATGATTACGGAATCAACGTGGCCTTGACAGACGCTACAGTGAAAATTGATCCACGAGAGATTCCCCCTTATATATTATAATACAATCACATATTATTACTCACTCGAGGGTGCTCAAATTTAGGAACTTGTTATCATGCTAGGACAATTTCGTAGATCTTAGAGGATCATTATTTTTTTATTAAATTTCATCGCGACGAGATGTACGATAACAGATTGGATATAATATAAATATGTTGCACATTTTATACAATACATATATATATATATATATATATATATATATATATAATTTATTAAATATCTGAAATATTTTTCATTAAATAATGATAAAGAGATGTATTAACTTTATTCAATGCGCAGAAATTTAATTAAAAATATGATATACTTTTTATAAATTATAATATTTTGTTACATCTTTTTTAAACATGCGTGTGAGTAGATCTTTCTAACGATAAATAAAACCTGCAGGAGTAAACATGTAGGCAGAAAAATTTACTTTAAATGACATCAATATTTTTCATTTAATTGCACTCTAAAATTTAATTAGTAAAGATACATTCTTACTTGTATAAAATAATTAATATAATGTTAATTCTAGAATCTATATGTGCAGTATATCGAGGAAATAATCTTTATATATAATTGCTGTTTATAATTGCTGGAATGCCATTCTGATTGACATCACAGCTTTCAGGACGACTAGGATCATCATCGCCCAAGAGCTACCAATAAACACGAAGAGGGAAACATTTTTCCGTCGCATCTTTCAGCGTCTATCTCACAACACTCGTAAGGACAACTCGTGACAGGTTTTCGGACAGATTTCTCCGCTCATCGGTATGTATATTGAGTGGACTTACGCGCTCGTTTACAGGTATGCCAAGCATGTAAGGTCTAACGTTGAAACGCCGATCGTTCGGCCAAGACGAGTGGGAGGAAGGGCTCATGCGGGTCGAAGAGAGAGAGAGAGAGAGAGAAAGAGAGAGAGAGAGAGAGGACGGGTAGAGAGGGGAAGACAGAGAGAGAGAGAGAGAGAGAGAGAGAGAGAGAGGGTGAACAAGGCGAGAGGCGAAGGAGGAACCGAGACACAAGGGGGTTTACGACAAGGAAGGAACGAGAGAACGACGGAGAAGCAGAGAGACTCTACTTCTCCGGTCCATGCCTCGAACACGTACGTGTATGCATACACGCGAGCGTGCGCCCGCACCCGCGCGAACATAAACGTATATCACGAGGTGCATCTGTAACCTGTGTGTACAAGGAAGACACACACACACACACGCATACATATATAGTTACGTGGCCCGGCTCTGACTGTCCCGTCTCGTACTCTGGCTTCACGACACTTTAAAACTCGACGTAGAGATACGGTGAGAAGAGACGGAACGGAGAACAGACGGGGAGGGAGGACGCGGGGGGAAGGAGAAGCGAGGGCAGGGGGAGGAAAGAGGAAAGGCAGAGAGCGTGGAAGAAAAAAAGAGAGGACGAAGAGAAGAGAAGAGGAGACCGCGCGATGCATACGCTGCCTAGTCGGAGAGACGTTGGCGATGGAAAGGAGAGAGACAGCAGCCGGGACGAGAGAGAGAGAGAGAGAGACAGATGGGAAGAAGGAAAGAATGCATTTGTGGATTGCTCGATAGAGTAGGTGGGCGGGTAAGAAGGCTAGGTCGCGCGCTCGCGCTGGTGGGAGCCCTGGCCGCGCACACAACCGGACAACCTGAAGCGGTCTCGAGGCAAGGAACGTACGGACGAACGAACTCGCGCAACGAGCGGCAATTCTATATACGTGGACGATTCTATGTGCGTGTGCGCGTCCACCTATACGTATTACAGAACACATCGTCGGGAGAGGAACTTACACCCCGTCGCGGCGACACGGTGGGAATTGGCCGCTCTCGCGCGTATGTTAAGTATGCTCGTGCACGCACGTACGCGTATGTGTACGCGCGAATATAAATATACGTGGTGTATGGGGGAAGCCGATGGTCGGTCGGGTGCGCGTATACCGGTCCATCGGAGGCCAGAAAGCAGATCCTGCAAAATCATCCGCGGCTTCGTGTGCGCTTCTCTAATGAAGATGTGGTAGATGTATGAATAAGCGGCCGCCGCCAACGTGCGCGTACAGCTTTCGATCTCTCTCTCTCTCTCTCCCCCTGTCTCTTTCTCTGCCTCGATCTCTCCCGGTCTGTCAGATGAGAGACACTCGCGATTCCTCCACTCTCGATAGTATCGAGCGCAATCTTTTCGTTTCCTCGATGAGGAATTGGAATTGTTATTTCACTTTTACCCACTCGAATATAATTATTCGATTACTTTTTCTACCCATTGCTCTCCATTTTCTATTTAACACGAATTTTACTTATTCGTGTAACTTTTACTTTTATTCGTTTACCACGATTATTGATACGACGGAGCGTTTTAGAGAGGATTCCTAATAAAAACCTCTCCCTTTACGCTCGTCTGTCTTCCTCTTTCCGCATCCCGATCTCTCGTTGCGCCTCTGAAAATCGCGGCGCAATGTCGGAGAACGGCAGGTGGCACGGTGAAGGGAAAATAATGCCGCGGTGAGAGATATCGCGGCTGCGAAATTCCTTTTGCTTTCTCCGTGCGCGCGGTGGCTTTAGCCTCGCGGTGGGTGTAACCGCCTCGTTTGTGTTTAGGTCGCGCATTATTTCACGACGTGACGCTTTAATGGCGAACTCTGATTTCTCGCGGCGCACGCCCGGCGAATCTCCCCCGTCTTTTCCTTAACGGGGACAATCGGAAGCAAGATCGTCGATATAACCACGATACGACCACATTTCCCAGATCAAAGTTCGGGACAATCGGGTCGGGCTATTACCCGGGTTGGTAAACCCGCTGTTGGAACAGAGGTTTCTAAAGTAAGGACCTAAGAAGATTTGTAGCGGGATAGTCATTTTTAAAAGTATACCAATGAACCGTATTTGGAATAATAGTACTAAATTTTTGCAAATTTCTTATAAGATAATAAGCGTTGGTCGAGGAAATTAAAATTGTTATCAGTTATATTATTTCATTGCGACGGCTTACATTATGTTAGTCGAGTTTACATTAGTTTAAGAATATCGATAGATTGATGAAAATGAAATAAAATGGCTCGGAGGGGTTGAACGGCTTGAGATTTGACAAATGTATAAAAGTTTGCATGACAAATAACCAGTGCAAGGGGATCTGAATTTTTCGAGCGACGCGCTAATTTCACGCCCCAACCGATGCACCGCGAGATGCACGTCTCGTTCGCGAGCAGCAGCAAGAGCCGTCGTTTTACAACGTCGCGAAGAGCGTTCGTCTCACGGTTGCGGACCAGAAGCAAAATGAACGCACACGCGGGGTCGGCCCCCTCGAGATAGCACAATCTGGTTGTGTCTTTACTCCGCGCGGGAATGCAAGGGGGAGAAAGAGAGAGAGAGAAACCGAGAGAGAGAGAGAGAGAGAGAGCGAGAGCAAGAGCGAGAAAGAGAGAGAGAGAGGGCAGCTGGGTGGCGTAAGGTTCTCAGGTAGGAACATTTAGACGGACGTACACACGTCGAGATTCGTGGCCGTTCGCCGATCGTTGACACGGGGGCCCGGAGTGCTCGACTGCATTATCGTTGGCGTGCGAACAGGTAACTTCGAGATCTCTCTTTCTTTTTGTTCCCCTCTTTTCTCCCTCCTCTCTCTCTCTCTCTCTCTTTCTCTCTCTGTCTGTCTATCTGCCTCTGCCTTTTTCCCTCTTCACCCTCTCGTTTTCTGTCCGTGCGCGCGCTTATGTACGCGACTATTTTCTTATGCCACGCTCGTCCACGCGCTCTCCGCAAACAGATTGCGCTCCGCGAGAAACGAGACCTCCTATCTGTGATACGCGAATGGAAAATAATCTGTTTCTTCGTGTTAGTATATCCTGAAGCGAATCTGTGCTTGATACTTAAAAAATTGCTCGATCGATGATGATGCAATTTATTAATATCCTGTAATTATTTATGCGAAACGTTTCGAGTCGACCGTGCCATATTTACGCTATCGAATCGTCTCTCGTCCAAATGCTATTTTAGTGAGTCGTTGAAAAATTCGGAGCATCAAAACAACGGGATTGCTGCAGATCGATATAGATTTGAGTCTTAGTTGAGCTAAATTTCTTTACGAATTACATATAAATGAGATTGGATTTAAAATAATTGAAATTAATACGTGCAAATTCAAGACATCCGTTGGAAATTATCAATTTGATAATTTCTAAATTAATTTTATATCGCACGATTAATATTTACTTCCTTTTTTTTTATCAATTTTCCAAAATACTTGTAACAAAAGAAAAAAGAAAGAAATCTCTCGCAAAACATTTGTACGGGAAAATGCGTGATAAACAAAATACTTCTTTACACATTCCGTAAATATTTTATTCCGCAAATTTGTCTGCATGTACTGTGCATTATACAAATTATACTTTATCTTGCTCCATCTCGAATATTGTAAGAGGAATGTGAAAAAAGTGTTGTCGATACGCAAATGAGCAAAGTAGAAAGTCGAAGCACGTAAAGCACGTGCATACGTCGCGAGCCCGAACACAAACGCGCCGCGCGTTACATCATAGTAATATTTTTCCTCGTTATGCATTGCTGTCAAACGCTCGCGGCGCGAGCGCAGCGAGCGAGAGGAAACACGGGGGGCATGGCCCAAAGTTGTCCAAACGTTTCCCACGCCGGGGATCCCGGTGACCGCGATTTTCGCGCGGATTCGTCGCGATTCTCGCGGACGATCGAGATCGAGATCGATCCCGCGATATACCCGGAGTGCCATCGATCTCCTCGTGACGCGCGGCGGCCGCGCTACTAGACACTCTCCGAGTTTCTCCCCGTTCCAGTTTCCCGGATGTCCTTTCACGCGGCTCATCGTCCTTCCAATCGGTCGCGGCTAGAGCGCATTCGAGGCTGCGCTATCGAGCGCGTGCGCTGCTCCGATCCGATCCGTGAGCGGGAAGCGGTGAGAGGCGGACGTGGACGCGGGCGAGGGCGAGGGCGCCTCGTGTGGCACGGGCCACATTCGACGAGGGACGTCGAAACCGGAAGTGGTCCATCGAGAACGGGAGTTGCCTTGGCAACCACGATCTGCTTTAACCCCCGGTCGATCATCGGTCTTCCGCGTCGCTCAAAAGCGTTGTATTATTCGGAGTCGCTGCATCCTCTCTCTCCCTCTCTCTCTCTTGTGCGCGTTTGAGAGACTCGAAAAAAAGAAAGAGACAAATATATATATTTTTTAAACGTTATGAGATTGCAAAGTTTTTCAAAATAATTGTTCGAAGAAGAAATTAACGAGCGATCGATTAATGGAATTCTAGAAACGCAATATTACGCGTCGTTGTTCACTCATATTTGATTAAAGTACAAGATTAGGAGCGCGTGGGTGGTAAGATAATAACTAGGAAAGACAAGTTGTAGACTACGGCAAAACGTTAAGACCGTTACAAAGAGCTAATTTATATCTCTGATATGACTGGTGGAAAATTGTATAACAAACGTAAACATTTGATATAAGCAAGAATTACGGTAACTACGAATATTAGAGATAATTGCGAAAGCGAGATATAAAATACGGGAAAATTATACGAAAAAAATATATACACGTGGGAAGAGAGGTTTGACAATCTGTTAAAAGCGTGTGTCAGTTCGCCACAAAATAGCTCGTCGATTCACGTGGCTCGGCAAGGAAAACTGCAGATTGCATTTGTGCAGTGCCATGTATAAAAGCGAGTAAAACAAACTAAACAGGGATGCAAGTATAAAAAGATATAATAATGAGAGAGAGGACGAAGAGGGAGAAGGAGAAAAGTGGGAAAGAGAAGGAGAAACAAAGAGGAAAAGAGAGAGCGATATGTCGAGTAGTGCACGTATATGCATGCATGCGTGTGTGTGTGTGTGTGTGTGCGCGCGCGCGTCTGTATGTGCTATTCGTTCGTTGATACTCGACGGGAGGACGGTGCACATAGCCGAGTCGAGCAGTCACGAGGATGCACGAAGCTGCAACGGCGTCCCACAACAGCGGTCGAGCGACGCAACGCGTCGTGTTACGTCGCCGCGCTGACAGGATCGTCGTAAACGCTCGCCGAGCCCGAGTCGAGAATCGATTTCGATTCGACGTTGACGAAATATTACGGGTCGGCCTGATTGTCCTTCCGAAAAGTAAACCTTTGAAATTCTGCCTCTGAGAATTACGCGTAGCTTTTATTTGGCATCATTAGATATTTATTTATTTATTTATTTATTTCTAAATTTTGACGTTTCTAAAAGAAAGTCCTCCGACTCCGAATACGCGTGAAGGAAGGTTCTTCTTAGCCGTTATAAAAAATACCGATACCGCACCCACACACGTGGATAGCGAGCCGAGAATGCTGCATAGTCGAGAGACAGCGTATAATTCACTCGAGCCCAACTAACGGCTGGAGGAGAGATTCCGCCTAATTTCCTAGCGCACGGCCAACGCCATGGAAAGCCATCGGGTTCTCTCGCTCTCCACGCCTGCGCCAGGCGTGGATCAATCCGGCAGAGAACCTCGAACACTTTTTGTATTTCGTTTCTATCGAATTTCGAAGATTCGTCGGAGGAGAAATCGCACGCCTCGTCGAACCCAGCGTCGACCTTCGACGCAAATACCTCGCATACACGGTTATTAGGCCCCAAAGACGACGCGTGAGAACAATATTTCAAATGAAATCTACCCATCCAGCATAGAACATTGTTGTAACATTGCAGCAATATTGCGGCAATATTACAATATTACTGCAATGTTACAACAATATTTTGTGCTATCCGAGTGCTCTCCTTTTTTATTATTTTAATTATTGATTTTAATTCGACACAATTCGACGCGTATAATCGATTCATGAGAATCCGTCTGTCCTCTCGTAGCTTATCGCGGTTCCCAAGGGCGGCGATGCCGCGCAGTCCGATACTGTACGTGTGGTGCGCTCGCGTGTGTGTGTGCGCGCGCACGTATGTGTGGTTGATGCGGTTGGTATGAGTATCGTGTATTGTGCCCGATGTGTGGGTCGCGCTGTGTTATAGGAATGCTGTCGGCAGCCGGCAGCAGGGTCGCCCACTGTTACTCGCTCGGACTTGCTTTTGCTCGCCTCTCCTCCGGCCTTCCCGCGCCCCCCGTCTCGCGACTCGCGCTCTCGCTCGATTCCGTTTTAAAACTATATTGGCGTGCCCCCTTTGTACTCCCGGGCACACACTCGCTCCGCTCGACTCCGCGTGGCGTGGCATGGTTCACGTATACACGCGCGCATATCGCATTACATATTTGTCCGCGGGAAGAGCGAGCGCGAGGAGAGGAATCGTCGCGCCTCGCGCGATCAGAGACTTTCTAGGCGACGATTTTTTTTTTCACTCGTATTTCATTGTCAATATAGACAAATCGGCGTGATTCCCTCCTTTTCGAAGGCGCGTCGCGCAATCGGGAAAACAGGATGAAACCTCGAGTGGGATGCAGATGTGATTTTTTATGTAATTATTTAAAAAATAATCATTTTCGTAATTTAAAAAAAATTGAAAAGATAAAAGAATGATTATTAAATTGATACTAAAATATATCTATGATTTTCTCGGTTGGGATGCAGATGTGATTTTTTATGTAATTATTTAAAAAATAATCATTTTCGTAATTTAAAAAAAATTGAAAAGATAAAAGAATGATTATTAAATTGATACTAAAATATATCTATGATTTTCTCGGTTGGGATGCAGATGTGATTTTTTATGTAATTATTTAAAAAATTATAATTTTCGTAATTTAAAAAAAATTGAAAAGATAAAAGAATGATTATTAAATTTATATTAAAATATATCTATGATTTTCTCGATTGGAATGCAGATGTGATTTTTTATGTAATTATTTAAAAAATTATAATTTTTGTAATTTAAAAAAAAATTAAAAAGATAAAAGAATGATTATTAAATTGATACTAAAATGTATCTATGATTTTCTTTGACGTTTCGATATTTTATTATTAACAGAATTAACTAGATATGATTAAAGGAATAATTCTGATAAAAATTCAATTGTATAAAGTTATATTAAATTGTGTAATGAAATGCGTGGTGTGTTACAGGATAAAAAATATACATCTCAAAGGGTGTCCATTATTCATTCGAACACATGTTCAGTCAGCCAGCGAAACAAGATAGTTTTAGATAGCAGAGTCCTCAGAGAAACAATATCTGTATTTAATTAACTGTAATGATATGCATAATTATTATTTTTTATATAATAACACAAAAAAATTATTATAGGCGATATCATATACGATACATGATGCAAATACTTGATCGATAAAATTTAATAATTGCACATTTTTTAATGCCCACACATTTGATAAAGATACATATATTAACGTATATCAAATGTTACATTTTAACCACACGTATATTAATCAAATAATATCTATTTCTCTCACGATCTTTCTTCGTGAAGTGTCTATTGTCAAACGTTTGCTATCGTCTATCATAATACATTCACAGGCAAGTCATGATTCAACAAAGAAAATATGAAGTTTAAAGGTTTTTAGAGTTAAATAAATTTAATTTGTCGATTACTATGTTTGTTTTGTAAATTAATAGTTTGTTTTAGTCTATTTATTCGATATAGAAAATTAATTTAAAAAATTAAAATTGATTTGATATATTGATAATTGAAAGAATGCTGTATAATGCGAATGCTGTATTATTATCGATTTGTTGTAAATATTTTAATTATACAAGGTGTTTCTTAATAAGTGCGAAAAATTTTAGGAGATGATTCTTTATCGAAAATTAAAAGGGATTTTTCAAATAAACATATACTCTTACATCCCTCCCTGTGGAGTTACACTCTTCCAAAAATGGGGAAAAAAAATTAGGTTTTTATTTTTTTCTCAAATTTGGAACAAGTTAAAAAAATGGAATTAGATGGATATTTTCTACTAGTAAAAAGCCTATTTATTAATATTTTTCAGCCTCTCATATTGTTACAAGGGGATAAAAACTAGCAACCCCTATTCAATTTTTTATTAGAACTTTTTAATATTTATATGAAACACTCCCCTTAATTTTCGACAAAGAATCATCTCCTAAAATTTTTCACACTTATTAAGAAACACCTTGTATAACATGAGAAGAGAGCGTACAAAATTTTGACAGAATTAGAGCTCGAGAGATAGTGTGATTTATTTGACATATTAAGATATAGATTATATTAATGACAGTCTCAGCTAGTGAGAAACATTATTAAGCAACACATTGGCGTTTCGAGTGCATATCTCTTATAAGGAGACGCGTACAAAGGTGCAATACACCCGCATGGATCTCGCGTCTCTCTGGCTTCCTCTCCCTCCTGAATTAAATAATAAAACCGGATATGTATGGAGACGCGGATATATATGTACATACGTGTATCGTGTTACTTATTTGTCCGGAAGGAGAGGAGACTCGTCTCGACATTACTACCGAGGAGTGCCTTACCTGGAGATGCGCTGGTTTGGCCTGCGCGTTCGTTAAATTTTAAACAAAGAAAATACAAGTGGCACATGTTTTTCTGTTATGCCGCCTGGTCATTACTTTACTTACTTTTATAAATATTTAATAGATATATTTAGGATTAGTGTATCTCGAAAAGCGTCAAATTGCGTACTCTCGACCCGAAAGGGTTCTGAAAATATATATCGATATTCTTTCCTGTTTGCTCAAGATTAATATTAAAGTTATTTATATTTTTATTCCAATTTTTATCTGTTGGATATATATTCTTAAGATATAAATAAATTAAAAAGAAATACAAATGTATATGAAACTAACAGTCATGATAAAAGACAATCATGACAATAGTAGAAGAGTTGCATAGAATCTAACGAGCTCTTCCGTAAAACTGGCAAGATATAAAAATATAGCATAGTAGAATTAATCGATACTTCAAGACGCATCTCATCTTGCAATAGTTTTTAAATAAAGTCTTTGTGCTCCCTCTCCTACACGTCTGTTGATTCCTCTGCCTCAAGCACGGGATTTAGGAAAGATGCGTTCCATGATGTGCTTTCGTCTCCCCCTTTTTGCCACTGCTGGTAGCTCACATTATAGAATCTTAAAAAGGGCTCCTTTTCAGAGAGCTTGAATTTGAGAATGTGTTTCATTCACGGAACTCGATATTCGGACCTGCTACTCGGTAGAATCGAAAACTAAAGGCTCCCGTATCTCTCGGGAATTCCCAGGAAATGCCTGGGAATATTGTACAAAAAGAGTCTGAGAGAAGAGTTTTTGGTAAGGTCTTCGTTTCGGGATTAAAGCAGGTCTCTCTTTCTTCCCGGACTGTCGGCTCTTTCCACGAAACTCATCACTGTTCAACGGGCTTTATCCTGCCTCTTGTTTGCCTTTTCTTACCAACCGCGCATCCCGCATCTCCGTCTTTTGCTCGGGTTTTCTTCTCTTTTCTCTTTCTCTCTCTCTCTCTCTTTCTTTTTATCTTCTCCCCTTTCTTTCTTTTTCTTTCCCTCTAGCTCTCTTCCTCGACCTCTGCCGTCGTCATATTTTTCTCTCGCTTTCTCTTTCCCTCTATCCCAGTGTGTATCTCCCGTTCCCTCCACGAAACCTTTTGCCGAATGGCGTGCCTTACGGCAGGTCTCCTTCGGCCTGTCTGCCAGAGAGGAGCATGCTCCGTTTTGGTCGTCGTAGTTGGTTCTCGATGGCGTGGCTGGGCGCGTTCTTGATAATCGGTCGGGTCCTACCGAGCCCCGAAGAGATCCCGAGAGTATCCAGCATCCGCCCCGCCACCGCGAACCGCCCGAACCGACGGAAATCTCGCCGCAGCCCGCTCGCCGATTTCACTCTTTCTCGCGCGAGCCGCCAGGCTCCGATTGTTCGCGCGCGCGTGCCGGATACGAGATCTCGTCTTGGATTTGCGAAATCGATTGTCGATTGTATAATCGCTCCTATGCCAGATGAAAAAAGAAAGAGTCGCGCGAACCAATTCGAACGTAATGTCAGATCCGTAATAACAGCTGTTAACTGACATTCTAAAATATCCAGCCGGATATGAATAAAACATTATTCAGATTTATTTGAGATTAATTGAGAGATAATATTTTCCAATATATATATATATCGCAACTTCAATTATTATTCAAGTTTTCGCGATTAGCTATTGTTGAAAAATATTTGAAATTATTTGAAACTATTTAAAATATTTAGAAATACTTGAAAATGTTTATAACATACTATTAAAAATTATATATTGGAGATACGAAAATACAAATTAAACTATTATTAAATGAATAAAAATAGAAGTGAGGAAAATTCATTCGAACGCAAGATATGAAAACGTGAGAATCGAGGTATAATTGTGGATGAGAAGTATGATGCGTTGTCCTGGCTCGAGCCGAAGGCCCAGCTTCTGAGTAACGGAATGTCACGAGACGTCCTCCACGTCTCAAGGCTACGCAGGACAAAGTGTTACAGGGTAATATGCGCTTGCGTGGATATCAGTTTCTAATTATTGCTCAAAGGTGCGTAGTAGATCGCACATCGTTATCGCAGAGGAGGGCGACCCTCGTGTGGGAAGGGGGGCCGTAGCCTTCGAAGCTCATGCATTTTAAATCATTGCCTGTCGCGACGCAATTTACGCTCGACAAATTATCGAAGTCACGCGGAGATAAAGTCTAGCTCAGACAAAATGACATTTTCATCGAACCTCCCGGCGAACGGATTTTAATAGGAGGCTTTTCTCGCGAATGTATATTGGCCTACATTAAAGCGAATGCGATATAGACGCACGGATCTTCGACGCAAGCCGAGTGAACGTAAGCGACAGAGTGATCTTTTGAGTGCGTCTGCACCGCGCGAAATTATGCGGTACAGTCGAATGCATTAATTTGTCGCCGCAGATACATGAAACGAATATAACCGATGCGTGCTGTTAATGATGTATTAATGATATATTATTGCTATTAAATGGCTACCCTTCAAAGATTGAAGCTACTCATTTCTTTTACTTTGGGATAGAAACACAAAAATCTTGTTTATTATATCACTTCTCTTTGAAAAAATATGTAACGTTTAAAGACATGCATTCGCAACTTATCTCGCTGACCTTCGCTGCTTTATCGAAGATTTAAAAAAATAAGAGAATTTTTAACGAAAAAAATTGCGATAGTTTGAGAGTATAATGTATACACAAAATTGATTTGAGGCAAACAGGTGGAATATTGATATTTTATTCTCTAATTTTCACTCGAGCAAATAATTCAGTTGGGTCATTGCATTAACGATTGACGTCGTTTTTTTTTTAATCTAAATAATTTACGTCCGAAATTGCATTTGTGGGTAAGCGCACATGACTTATATTGATTTCTACTATTATTTTTGTGATCGTTTCATGCAAAGAACATTAAAGGGATTTATGTTTTAGAAAGAGTACGAATACGAAATTTGGTCGGGCGTATTTCAGTTCAGATAGAAACCCGTTCGATAAAACGTGCTCGCATTTGGAAATTGCATTACCTTGCCGAAATCAGCTCCATCGTTTGAAAGGTGGATTAAAATTCGTCCGAGCCATAAATCCAAGTGGGAAATCCCATAAATGTCGCACGCGGTGGCGCGCGTGATCGATGAGCGCAACGATAGCAGATTTGACATATAACTTCCAGTTAACTTTATATAATGTGTTGCTCAAATAAACCAAATCTCTTCTCGATGAATTCAGCAAGCACTTAAGGCAAGAAGTTTGTCATACATGTTTGAGCCTATAGGGTTGTTCAGTCAAACTAGGTATTTCGAAAATGTTTCAGAAGTCTACTCCCTAATTATAACTTTGTAATAGAAAAAGTTTCCTCTCAAAGAGAATCTATTTTAAAAAATTTTCAAACATTTAAATGCCTTATATTTAGCTGAAACGATTTTTAATTGTATAAGTGTTTTAATTAAATGTTTAATAAAATAGAGAAAAAAACAAATGTCATCTTGACAATTTATTTTCGCAAACTGAAAATTGCGAGTCTATACAAGCTGAAAATTGGATACCATGGATGAACGCGATATCTATATTTACCATGGAATTCTGAAAATTGGTTTGGCACGATTAAGAGCGATGCTTTGATACGACAGGCCGCACGCTTTGCATGTACGGTCCTGGACATCTGTCGTTCGTCGGTGCTGCTTGGCGCATGCGGTTACAGTTCGAACAGGAAAGAATGCAGTGCTTCCCGAAGCTAATAAAACAGGTCGCCCCGTAACTCAACCTCACCATATACCCGGTCGTAGGTGCGCAT